TTCCTTCCTTCCTTCCTTCCTTCCTTTCTTTCCTTCTTTCTTCCTTTCTTTCTTTCCTCCTTCCTTCTTTCGTATCCCTGTATAATAAATAAGCGTTCCTAACATTGCCTCTGTTGTTAAGGTAAGCGTTTTGAAAGATGACGGGCAAACCAGAAAACAGCTTAGCGAAAAAGAAAAGGCGAAAATGAGAAGAAAGGAACTTGGGCTAGCTTATGCAGTGGATGAAAATCCTCCTTGGTACGTGTGCATAACCTTAGGATTCCAGGTTAGTATGAGCCTTACCCTTTATCGGACAATGTCAGTCAATCAAGGTTTAATGGTCAGTCAATCAAGATCAATTCAATCTGTTACCTTGATATTACAAATTTTAAGTACAGTCAACCCACGCCTTGCGAACACCCCAATATTACAGATAGCTTTCCGATTGCGGACAGAAAATCTCCGGGCAAAAAATTCCGTAGACTGATTCCATAAGTCGTAGTTTTCGCTCCTTTGCGGGTTGTGCCCAGAATCGACAGAAGAGCGAAAACACCGACTTATGGAATCAGTCTAAATATTCCGCTGATAAAGAAATGACCGTAAATAAATTTATTTTGTTTATTTTATTCTATTTTAAAGAAACTTTAAAATTTTAGTTTTTATCTTGTGCTCGTGTGACTGTTAGCATGTATTGTTTTTAGCACTACATGACGATGGTCGGTGGCACTCTCTCTCAGCCCTTCATCATCAGTGGTGCCATGTGTTTCGCCAATAATCCTCTTGTCATTGCTGAGGTATTAAGTACCCTGTTCTTCGTGTCTGGCATTGCTACCCTTCTGCAAGCTACTTTTGGAGTGAGGTAAGTTTAAAATATGGTACTTGCAGCTAACCAGTAGTTTACTCTGAAGCTTTGTCGTAAGCCAAGGAGTATAAACGGAGGTTACGTTGCTGAGCTTACTGTCAGTGAAGCACGAATAGACCTGATATGGCGGCCATCTTAAATTATGGGATGTCGGCCCAGTTGTTCAAAGCCTGATTAGTGCTAATCCTAATTTAACTCTTAATGAGACCTATAGAGTTAATCCTGGATTAGCGCTAATCGAGCTTTGAACAACCCGGCCCGGCAGGGGAGCAAAAGTAGAAATATTTATATAGCAAGGACTTGCGAAGTTACTTTTTCAAATGATTTTACGCTTTGGTGTTTTAAATATCTCTCCAACTAACAGCAAATTCAATTGGTTTTTAGATGTGTTTCACATTGGATAACGTAAAGTTATATAACAAGACACCCTGACAGATGTGCTATCTATACATTTTTAATATCTGTACTCGATAAGCCAATTGTCAGCTAACACTCACTTAATAATTTTACATACGCTGACTATAATATTAACCAAAATAAAAATATATCAGTTTTAGTTTATTTTTTCAGTTAACTAGTAATTTTTAGGCCAATTGCCAGTTGCTTTTAAAAGTCGTCAATAATCGATTCAAAGAAAGAATTCACTGATCCCCGAGACCGACATTTTTTCAAAAATTTGAGATGAGACTCAAGAGACGTACAATGTTGAGTACTGAGAACCAATGTTTGTTATGTTGCGTATCAGGCTGCCAATCATCCAGGGAGGAACATTCTCGTTTTTCGCGCCAATGTTTGCAATCTTGTCTCTTCCGAAATGGAAATGTCCTGTCGCAACATCAGAAGGTATGTATAAATGTATATCGACTTTAACTTTTGCCGGCTCTACTGAAAAAGGGCGAGCTAGTTTTCCTCATAAGATATCATCATATTTATGTTACTTATAAATTGTGCGACAACATAAAACGTAAAAAACATACTAAAAAATGTAAAAATATAATATATATATTTGAACGCGACGTTTCGACGTGTCTTACAGTTTCATTATCAAGCAAAGAATGAATAACTATGAGTAACTATCTATAGAAAAGCAGATCATAAAGAAATGCTAAGCTACGATAGAAGAAAGAAAGAAAACGCCCTAGAGAGAACAACTAAGTGAAGAGTTTAGCACCAATGGAATCGTTCTGAGTATCAAGGCTAGGCCTTATGTCCCAAATGAATAGCATTCATGAAGAAGACAGTCGAATTTAGAAAAGCATTTTTTTAAGTATAGGAAAATTCTCATCCAAAGTATCCAAGCTAATGCCTTCATGCTTCTCAATAATATGTTTACCAATAGCCGAATGTTCCCTAATGCGACATAATCAGCCTCGCACTCATCACATTTTCACTTATTAAAAAAAACTATACTAAGTTCAAATGAAATTTTAAGGTACAAACTCAACTTTGAACGGAACGACAATTGACAGTGAAGAGATATGGCAGCTACGAATGCGAGAGGTACGTAAGACAAATCTGTTGAACTGTTTGATTGACTGTTTATTTTATCGAACCCTGAAACAACCTCTGGGCTGATCTAAGTCAGGGCACGGCTAACTAACAGATTGAACCCTGAAACAACCTCTGGGCTGATCTAAGTCAGGGCACAGTAAACTCATAGATCAAACCCTGAAACAACCTCTGGGCTGATCTAAGTCAGGGCACCGTTAAGTCACAGATCAGACCCTGAAACGACCTCTGGGCTGATCTAAGTCAGGGCACCGTTAAGTCA